GGGGGAGTTGAAATGGTTCGCGACTGGGAGGTGCAGTTGTTTATTGCAAACCGAGCGTAGGTGTTCTGCAAAGCGGTCCCTGAGCCTCCGCTTGGTTTCCCCGATGTACAGGAAGCCACACCGGGTACAGCGGATGCAGTATACCACATTGGCAGATGTGCAGGTGAACATCTGCTTGATGTGGAAAGTCTTCTTGGGGCCTGGGATGGGGGTGAGGGAGGAGGTATGGGGGCAGGTGTAGCACTTCCTGCGGTTGCAGGGAAAAGTGCCGGGTGTGGTGGAGCTGGAGGGGAGTGTGGAGCGGACAAGGGAGTCACGGAGAGAGTTGTCCCTCCGGAAAGCAGATAAAGGTGGGGAGGGAAAGATGTCTTTGGTGGTGGGGTCGGATTGCAGATGGCGGAAGTGTCGGAGGATGATGCGTTGGATCCGGAGGTTGGTGGGGTGGTACGTGAGGACGAGGGGGATTCTTTTTTGGTTCTTATTGCGTGGACAGGGTGTGAGGGATGAGGTGCGGGAGATGTGGGAGACATGGTTGAGGGCGTTCTCGACCACCGAGGGGGGGATGTTACGGTCCTTGAATAATGACTTCTTTTAAGATCCTAGGATGAAATCCATTGAGACCTGGGTGCTTGTCAGCCCCAGTTCAAATGAATTATTCAATATCGCTTCTCTGGTAAATTTTCTGCTTCCCTCCCTCACTTCCATCGCCCGATTTACAGCTGTTTCTGAGTTGCTACTTGTGTCCTGTATGGTAAAGACCAATGCAAAATACCTGTTCAATTTATCTGCCATCTTGTTGTCTTTCATTATTGACTCTGCAGTTAAATTTTCTATAGCATCAATACATAAACTGTTAACTTGTCTTTTTAAAATATTTACAGTAACCCTACTTTTTTTCTTCTCTGGCTCACTTTCTTTTGTATTCTAAAACTTACCTCCTTATTAAGCTGCCAGCCATCCCTTGCTTTTTAAAAAAAACTTCCTGCCCAAGCTTCTAACCTGCCATTTGTCCCTGCATAAGTATATGCTTTTCTTTAAGTCAGATACAATAAGTAAAGCTTCCGATTAACCACAGATGGCAGGTCTGTCTCTAGGAATTTGTCCACAAATGCAACACAAATGGTCTATCCTTCAACAAAATTTTCCAATTCACATGAGCCAGCACTGCTTTCATGCCCTTATTATTGTCGTTTTTCAAGTTTAAAAAGATCATATCAGACTCATTCCTTCATTTTCAAACTGATGTAAGATTCAGATACACGTCATTCTGTTACCTAGGGACACCTTTACTACGAGGTCATTAATTATTCAAAAGCAGCTCTAGTATAAGCTGCTCTGTGGTTGGCTCCAAAACATACTTTTCTAAGAAACTATCCTGAAACATTCAATGAATTCCTCATCTTTACTAGCTTTGCACATCTTTCTTTTCCAGTCCAAATGTGGATTAAAATCTCCC